GTGAGAGAGCCCACAACCTGGGAAAATATATTTAGTAATGACATATCAGACAAAGGTCTGATTACTAAAATTTACAGAACCCTGCAACCTTACAATAAGTAAAAAGCAAATAGCTCAGGAGGAGGAGGAGGTCAAAAGACTTGAAGGGATGATTCACAAAGGAGGAAACCTGAATGGCCGATAAAGATATGAGAAAATGTTCCTGATCATTAGCCGTCTTGGAAATGCAAACCAAAACAACCATGAGATACCACCTAACACCACAAGATAGCCCAATTCAAAAGACCAGAAAACAACAAGTGTTGGAGGGTGTGGTGAGGTAGGAACTCTCATGCACTGCTGGTGGTCTTGCAGACTCACACAGCCACTGTGGAAAGTGATCGGTAATACCTAAAACAGTAGAAATTGAGTTACCTTATGACCCAGAAATCCCACTATTGGGCATATACCCAGATGGAATAAGAAGCAGGCCACAACCAGACTTCACTCCAATGCTCCTTGTTGTGCAATTCACAATTACAAAAAATGGGAAACAACCTAAATTTCCATCAAAAGACGAATGGATTAAAAAACTCTGGTATATACATGCAATGGAGTACTATACATCCCTAAAAAACAGAATAAACAATGAGGCACCTTGTCTTGTGGAAAGTGCTGGAGGATATTCTGCTGATCCAAGTCAGCCAAGCACAAAAGGGCAAGTACCACATGAGCCCACTGAGATAAGTTCAAATAACAGAATGACCCAGGGGAAAATGTCCTTATTACACAGTTCCCAGGCTGAGGACCAGCTACCCTGAGAAGAGCCAGACCAAACACAATGACGCATATGTGAACAAACAAACAAACAAATAAGATGCAGATAACACCTGTTCAGAAAGACATCTTCCCTGCACCCCTGCCCCTCCCATATGTCTTTACTGTTCACAGAGGGGTGAGGGAGGAAAGAAAAAAAGATGGCAATGGGGAAACAGGGCACTAATCTACCCAAGGGGAGGGTATTGTTTATGCCTCCACAGGAAAGGGAGAGAGAGTAGATCCCATACTGGTGTGCCAAGCCTTGAGGCCATGGGAGCAGCACATTCACAGAGAGGATGCAGGGCCGGCCTCAGTGGAGACATGAAGTCCCCTCTGTAGATGACAGTGCTGTCCATAGGTACAGTTGGGAGAGTGCAGCCGGTCTGACCCGCCCACATGGGGGGAAACCAAGAGGAGAGGGCAACAAGCCAGCAATGGGAGCAAAGCCAGGAAGCCCCTGAGGAATCTCCATTGTAGACCTCTGACTCAGGGGGCAGCGCTTGGCACATCATCCGAACTGGTTAGAGGATATTCAAAAGGGGACACACTCAAAGTCTAAAGGTGTAATGGGGTGGGGTGGGGGTGTAGAGCACTAGACCACTCCATCCTTGACAGCAGGAAGAGCAAGGGGGTCTTGTAGAAGGCATGCCCCTTGGACAGGAAGACTGAGGTCTACAAGGGTAGAAGGGCTGTCAGGTGAGCAGGTCCTGGGATACGGATCCCAGAGAGAAAAGAGGACCGATGCATTATTACAGGGCCAGTTCGCTATTTAACAGAGGGCTACTCATCTACTGTGCGTCAGGACAATAGACTTGGAACAACATGTACGGTCTTTTTTTCCCCTTTTGGTGTCTCTCTACACAAGATAGGCAGCATAAGCAATTGCAATCCCAAAGAGACAGCAACTGGAAGGGGATGGGTTGGGGAGGAGGCGCATGGGAGAGGGGAAGTGGGGGAGGAGAGTGATGGCCAATAACAACCAGGACAGGGGAATAGCAAGGGATCTAATATTGAAGGTGAGGAGGGTGTAGCGTTCCTGGTCATGTTTGATCAACTGAAATATTTTTGAGAGGAATTACTGAGAGATGAGCGATCTTTAAACAGGATAGTGGGGCAGAAGGATAGAAAAAGAGGAAAGTATAAGTAAGAAAATAATATATATATAGGTATAAATATAAATATGTAAATATATA